GTTCGGGTTTATCGAGGACAAGTGATGTCAAAAAATGAACTAGAAGGCCTAAAAAAATGTCGTAACCAATTTATTTCGGTGAATTCATTTTTTTCCACTAGTACTAGTTATCGGCAAGCTCTTTCATTTCTTAATATTCCTGATGACGCAACTGATCTTGAACCGATCATATTTGAAATCGTTGCTGATCCTAAAATGGTTGGTACAAAACCATTTGCCGATATCAGTCGACATAGTGAATTTCCTGGTGAATCGGAAATACTTTTCATGTTAGGCTCTATTTTTCGTTTAAACAGTGTCGAGCATAATGATAATGATCAAGTATGGGTCATCAAAATGACTTTATGTAGTGAGAACGATAGTGATTTAAAAAACGTCCTATTAGATATGAAAGAACAAGTTGAAAGTGAAGAAATTAATCTATACACATTAGGAAAACTAGTATGGGACATGGGAAGATTCGATTTAGCTGAAAAATATTTAAATGGTTTTTTGAAACAACTTCCAACAAATGATCCATTGGTTGGTAAACTATATGAAGATCTTACCAAAGTGACATCGCAAGCTGGTGACTATGACAAAAGTGTTCAATGGCGTCAAAAAGCTCTTGAATTCAAAAAATCAAATCAAAAGCTTGTTAGTTTAAGTACTAATATCAAAAAAAGTATTGCGAGTAAGTTTCGAAAAAAGAAAGACAATCATTGTAGAATGAATACCTCATATAAAACAAAATATATAGTTAAAGGGGAAAAAATTTGAGTGCATAGAAAAACAACACTTCACTTAAAATTCGAGTTGATTTCATTAGTAAATACTATTAGTTTTGCTGCTTAAAAAATTACTTTAGATATTCGACATGATTGAGAATAACGATCGGATCAATACCGAGATCCACTATCATCTTGTCTAATTTTGAATCTCCTTTTCTTTGATGATCATCTTTGAAAATTTGTTTTTTAAAGATAGCATTGGCATAGTTTCGTCGTTGATATATCTCTATATCATTTAAAATGGTTTTGAGAGAATCAAAAATATTACTTTGTACGAGTAAGATATTTACACAAATACAAATATAGCGATAATTATTAAGAATAGTATATAGATTCTATTTCTAATGAATGACATTCAATCCTATGACTCATAAGTTCCTTATAAATTTTCTCGTGATGATGTATCAACTATACACTAGTCAAAAATCTTTTCTCTTATTATCGCATTGTTCACTACTGACAATTCGAGAAACTATTCTCTCTTTCATATTACCTAGTTTAAAATTCCAACAAAAACTAGAAGAAATCAGTGTCTAAGCAAGACAAGAATTTGAACACGATAAATTGACTTTTATTGTTGTTGATAGTATTGTTAGATACAAATTAGTTGTTTTAATTTCTTCCTTATTTTTCAGTTTTGCTTTTAAGTTGAATCATATAAATTCGTCTTTTGACAAGCAAGTCTTGTAATCAATTGACGGATGAAACTGAAGATAATTACTAACAATGTAGTCCTTTATGACTCCTATCAATCATTATTTTTCTGTTTTGAAATTCAAATAGTGATTGATATATGTGTTCTAAAACGAACGATTCATTATATGAAAATATCAATAATTCTGGAGAACGAGAAATGTAAATCATTAAATTGTTTCTACATGAAGTTTGATTTTGCTTTTCAAAGTAAATTTTCTTTGACAGAAAATTTCACGTAGATTAAATTTTTATTTTCTTTCACTTGTAAATAGTTGCTATCTGCTAATAGATCTCTCTATTATAATGAGGATAATTTAAACACATAAACCTGAAGAGTGTATCTTTAGGTGTTGATTAATGACAAGATAGGCACCAAATTCACACCCATCTAGAATATTCACACCAGAAAAAAGAATCCGTACATGAATATTGGTGTATTCGTGGCAACACCGTATTAGCTCTGTTGATTTTGCAGCAATATGATGAACTAGTATCGATCGAAATCTTCTTATAAAGTGAAACACTACATTTGCATGATTTTGTTTTTGAAAACCATAATGTATTTTGAAAAGAACTTCGTACCAAATATTACTAAGCATTAGGATCCATCTGAACTAAAAGGAGAAGATATCATCCTGTATTTAGCGAATTTTTTTAGAAGCTGTTGGAAAAAAATTAAAGTTATTAGAAAGTCTATTAAGGGTGTGGGTGTGGGTGTGGATGTTGTATGAAATTCACGCCCACACTCGCACCTTCGACGAAATCATCTTATTCTTTTGATTCAGTAGATAATTCGACTTATCTCCTAGGTTTTATTAAACTTTAAAATTGTCTAATCTTATTCAACTCGTGATGGCTATGATAATTAACAAATTTTTTACAATGATTTGATAAATAACTTCAGTTTAGAGGTGATTAGTTCACATTTGCGAAAAATATTTAAATCTATTCTTAACTTAAAATTTAAGAAATTTAAATATAAGGTAAAATAACAAAAAATAGTCGCTCTAACTTTAGTGACCATTGAGTTCTGCCATGTAAAAGTCTATCTTTTCTAGAAGAAATATAATTATAATAGTGCCATTCTGAGTCGAGTCTAGTCATCCCAAGGAGAGAAATAGTAGACTTCTCGATATGAAGTTACTTTGCGCTACTTCAAGTTGTTTTAAGCTACTTGCTCCCACTTTGGGCTATTTGGATGGCACTTTGAACTACTTCAATTAGTCTATTTTGACCTACTTTGACATACTTTTCTACTTAAAGCACGCTGTTTCTCCCTTGGATCATCCACTGGATGACGCAAATGAACTACAAAGTAGTTCGAAACAATTGAATTAAAAAATAATTCGAAATTTTTATAATATATACATATTTATATAAATATATATATATATATATATAATTATAATGAGTTTATTAAAATCTGTCAGGGTCTACTAAGGTCTCGATGTGAATGCCACAAAACAACTCACATCACGTTTCTCTCGATGTGGGTGCAGCGAAATCGTGGTAGATTCTAGTAAAACCTAGTATATGAGAATAGATTTATTATAATTATATACATTTATTTCTATAAATATATAATATAGGAATTTTGAATCATTTTGTAATTCATTTGCGTCATGAACTCGGGTCATCACAAAGAGGTTCGCTTTCCAGATCTGGAAGGAAACAGAAAGATTAAAAATTTCGTATATTTTACATGAGAAAGTGCGCTTGATATTTATTATATTAGCTGATCGATTCTTAACTTCTATTTCGAAATGCAGTATCACATAGTGAAGCTGAAAATAACTCTTGCAAACTTCATGAATACACGGAAGAGTCAATCAGCGAAAATTATTGAAAATCAAGCAGACACGTTCATGTAAGATATATAAATTTGTAATCTTTCGGATATCCTACATATTTTGTATTGGAAAAGAATCAGAATTTTTTGTTTTTTTTTTGTTATATTCATATTCTTACAGAGTTTGTCCCGCTCTATCGAATCATATTAAAATCCTAGATAATGATGCTTCGATTTAGATGTTACAAACATATTTAGCTTTTTTGCAAAAAATGTGAGATATAAGATGCTTCATCATCATAGGCAAAATGTGCATCACTTCGATCAACTATTTAGAAATATATTTGATAGAGATAACGTCAATTCACAAACAAAGGTCGAAATATTTGGGGCACTCTTTATAATTTTCTAGGAATATTTGTAAGAGAAATTCAGATGTGATTTTCTAACTAGATTATGAAAACTTAAATGCTGTGTTTTCGAATGTTATACTTCCAAGAAAATAAAAAAACATAGAGAAATTGTCATAGACATTCCTATTGATATTCCTTCATCTATTACCAATCTCTACTTAATTTTAATGTTTCGATAGGTGTGTTTGGTAAAATTAGCTTCCATCTAGTAAATCTTTCAATCATAAAAATAAAACGAAACAAATTTTGTCGCTCGTTTTTTTAATCTATAACCAGATATTTTCAACAAAACTTGATCGATCAGTGTATCTCTAACCTATACAATACGCAAGTTCCCTATGCA